CTGACAAGCAGCAAATCCAAAATCAGAGCTGTGGGGAGGAAGGAGTAGTTTTTAAAGTTTAGGATGTAAATAACAACAAGATTGCATTAGATATTTATTAGTTTATAATAATAATTATTATTATTATTAAATATTAGTATTAGTATTACATTTTCCTTAAAATATATCATAAAAAGAACTAAATAGTTGAAAAGATGAGTAAAAAATGCAGCTGAAGTTGTTCAGTTGTTTATACATTTATTTAAAGCTTCAGTTAATTATAGATTTACACTGTAAAGACAAACAAAGGTTTTACTTTAGTGTGTTGAACTTAATTTGTACCAGCTTTGAAACACTTGTTTTCTCGCTTAAGTTAGCTGTACTTTCTGTCCCCATTCTGAGTTGCACGCAGTTGCTTAATTGAGCACTTGATGTTGCCAAATATGGGGCATTTCTGCAAAAGAAAAGCTTGTGGTAAAGATAATGTTTAGCTTCATAAGCTTTATCGGTGCTGTGATCATTATTATAGTTAGGCTGTGTTTCGACTAGCTTGTGAATTCATGATGTGGTTTCCTATGTTAGCTTGCCCCGGTAACTGAGACTGCCTTTTCAGGGTTTGATTACCAGTGTTACTGTAACCATGAAGTATGTAAATACTGTGGAAAAGTTGTCTTGAACTTATATCTAATATTTAATCATGGTGACTTTGTTTGAGTTTCTTCTTTAATTAGAAAAAATACTAGACTAAGGTTTTATATTTTTTTTTATACTGAGAAACAGCCGACTGACATCGCTCCACACCTCGTGGCCTAAAGTCAAGAGTCCTCTGAGGAAAAGTAAAAAATTTTCCCTGCTTTCTTGAATAATTGTCCAGTTTTCAAATTATTTCAAGACATTTTTTTTCCAAATGCTGCAGCTATTGATATTTTTTCAGTCTATTCTCACACCAAGGATACCTCTTCAGCCTAACATCCTCTAAAAAGAATCAGTCTGCTGCTGTGATCACAGTTTGTATTCTTGTTTCTTAATGCTTATCATAATCCTGAAAAAATATTCCTGGAATTTATTACATGATCATAATTGGAGTAAATGACCCTGCTCTCATTAATATTCCTGGCAGATTATTTAGATTTGTGAGCTAAATCTACATGATCGGCACTGTGTCCAACAAAAATGACTAATGATATTAAATTGGCTAAGTAATACTTTTACATCCCTTGCAATTCCTTTGATGTCTCTAAATATCCTATCCCATCATCCCATTTATCATCAAATTTCAAACTTTCCCAAGCTTCCTAACACAGGTTCTGAATCAGCAGCGAATACTATACAAATACTTGATGGCCTCACCCAAAATTCAAAAGTACATTATCAAAGAGCTCAGCAGCTTTAGGAGCTAATAAATTACATTTGAACATCTTTGATAGTCCATGAGGGCTTTCAGATATTTAAAGAATTGAGATCTAGGTATTTCAAACATCTTCAGATGTTTTCAGTACATCATTATAGTAAAGGTCAAATTTTGCAGTGAACCATGGTTAGCAGCTTTAGTTAGCACTCTGCTAAACATTTTGAAGTCAAGTGGAATTTTATTTCAGTTGAATCAACCAATAGTTAAGATTTTAAACATGTTGAACTCTTAATGTAACACCTTGGGGAACTCAGCAAGGCTGAAGTAAAAGCATATAACCAGCTCAATTTATTGACCTAGAAAAAAAATCTAAAGGTCTTTGACCCAGTCAATACCTGATTGGTCTAACATTATATACTATCTCCAAATCTCCATGGCATCCTGGGCTTTTACAGGCCAGGAATAGCTCTGGCATTTCACCACAACACAATACAGTATAGCAGCACAGAGCTTGAACTCAAGGCTGCAAGTTCACAAATATAATCTACACGTGCAAAGACATCATCAGCCATGACCGGTGGATCACATCTCAGACAGCTCCCACAAAAAACTTTCCATCGCTGTCGTGCAGTTGTTTCTCGCTCAGACACCATTTACTCCTGCTAATGCACTAATTGGCACTAGTTGGACACATTTTGGTCTCTGGACATTAAGAGCTATTAACGTTATCTAGCTTTGACCAAACATAAGAGCCACTTATGAATACCACGGGTTCCACTGTGGCCATGGCACAAACGTGCATAATAACGCACCGGCTTATCGGCAATGTGGTGATAAATATGAAGCTGCGAGAGCGTCGGACAGCTAAATAAAGTCAGTTTGACTTTGGAGCACTTCTTACTTCCACATAAGGCCTCTATGCTCACCAGGTTAACGCTAAATGCCCAGAATCAATTAGTATAAATTAAAATCCTAGATTAAATCCTTTACATCAACCCACACATATTAATACATAAATATATTGTAAATTTATTGCAAATCTGTAAATATCGAGCCTGTTGATGGCTGTGGACTTAGAGATGTGTTATTTATTAAATCAGAACACATTTTTGTTTCATTAAAGGCAGAAATCCTAACATTAACTATGGTGTAATGATACTTACCCAATGCCAAATTCAGCATGATCTCTTGCTCCTCCACACTTCGTCCACGGAGAAGAGTGTACACGGTGCCGATGAGCCACGGGATGACATGACCGGAGAACTCGACCAGCCGGACCAAGGGCCGTATGCTGCCCCATGCAGACCCCTCACAGGCGCACACTCCGAGCCGTTTGGACAGCCATAGATCTATCGCCAGCAAAAACCGGAGCGTTACAGTAAATATCGGCTGACTCAGACTGACTGAAAAGTCTCCCGTTTGCGCTCCAGAGGCAAAGTAAGAACAGGTGGAGCTCCGGCGACGGACTTGGTATTCAAGAGTTGCCCGGCTTCCACACGCAGCTCCACGGCAACTATTCCGCCTGGACCCTGGTGAGGACATTTTGGTTGGACAGTGCCGTAGGTCGTGTATCCGCTCTCCTTTATGGCCCCTGATGAGCTCGTAACATCCTGCCCGGTTTACAGGGGATAAATGGTACCAGTTTAGAACGGGACCGCTCTTGTCACGTGACAAGGATGAATCCACAAACCGTGCTCGTTAAACGGGTCCGGTGTTGAGCTTTAGGCTTTTTCTTTAAACTTGGAAACCCAGCGAACACGTTATCACTTGTGAACCAGATAGCCCGCCTTGACTGTAAAGTTTGACTATTTTGTTAGTTGTGTCATAATAAACATTTCATAATAATAATAAATGTCTATATTCTCTTCACGACACCGGTCTGAGCGCAAAATGTGTCACAACTACGCCAAAGGCTCAGAGCGCAGCACTTTTTATGAACCTAAATTGGGTCTATGGTGTTGTGGCAGTGCGTGCGTGGTTTCCGCCTCTTCTTTATTTTGCTCTACCTGCTGTCACCAGAGCTACTGCACACCGGACTAAACACTTCCACGGCCACAGCATGCCGGGGCTGCTGCTCGGAGACGTGTTTCCTGATTTCGAGGCAGAGACCACCACCGGCACAATTAAACTCCACGAATTTCTTGGTGATTCGTGAGTAGACTTTGTGACTTTTAATTTTTTTACGCTGCAAGTTTACAGACTTATTGAGAATTCGCTTAAGAGCGGGTAGAGAGGGCGGGATGTAGTTCCTGTCATGGTTTTTCACTTCTGCTTTGAAATACTGCATGTGGCATTTTTAAAATCTGCATACTGTACCTGTAATGACGGTATTGTGGTCTAAGTGCGATCTAAGTGTGTCTAAAATAACACTTTACCACTTAGTGCATCTATCAGTAATCATCTCTTTGTGAGACAGTGAATGTCTTCTGATACTGAGAGCATCTGTAAGCTGAACGAATGAAATTGAGGTCAAACCTGAGGAAAAAAAACACTCCTTTGAGTGATTATGTGCAGACCGCTGACCTCAAGGTGGAGAAAAACAACTTTGCCATCACTTTTGACAACTTTGCTAAACTCGTTTTACATCCTGTTGTCCTTTTGTGAAACCCAGAAACAAGCAGTAACACACACAATATCAAGAAATGCAGACTGCGGAGAGGAAACTAGGTCAGGATGAGGCCTCTTTTTTTCTGAGATCGAACTGAGCATGATGGTAAATCTGACTCATTTCAGATGGGGAATCCTGTTCTCCCACCCCAGGGACTACACTCCTGTGTGCACCACAGAGCTGGGCCGAGCTGCCAGACTCAGCAGTGACTTCAGTAAACGCAACGTTAAATTGATCGCCCTATCAGTGGACTTCCTGGAGGATCACCACGGCTGGGCCAAGGTGTTGTAACTACATTTTATTTATTTATTTGCTGCACAACTTTAAGTATTTAGAAGTATTGGAAAAACACATAAAGAAAGCAGTAAGTCGGTGCTGGCTGGTGAACTGTGCTCTAAGCTTCCCAGCTGAGCATATTTCTTTAAACAAGCCACAAGAGATTTGCAAGCCAAATGACATTGAGATATCTGGACTAATGCTGGGCTAAATCTATGTGGGTATTTAGGATTTTCCAACAACATGCTGAAGTAAATGAATCCTTCTGGGTTCACTCAAAACCTCACTCCTATTAAGATCTCAGGTTTCTCAAATGAACAATGAACATTGAGCCTGTGCAGGCCTGACTCCTATATATAGTGTGCGAAAAAAATTTTGCAACACAAATAAAGCTTCGACCACAAGCTGTGAATTTAAAACTGTGATGAAAGGTGTATGAACCATATTGAGGATCTATAGAAGGACGAGGCTTGTGATTATGGGATGTGTATGAATGCTGTGTGCTTAGAGAGGCTAAAAGTGAGACTATCTCAGCCGTGGCAACTTTTCTTTACTGCTAGCACTCAATTTGATTACATCAGTTACAACTACTACATTTCCCTTGTGGGATCAATATAGTATCAATCTATATATCTTTGAGAAAGCCTGAAAACCCCGTGTGTGAAATTGTCTTCCTGCTTCAAATATTTGGTGCTTTTTAAAAATATATATTGCACTTCAAAGTCTACCATGTTGCCTTTGCACCAGCTGTGAAATGAGCATCACTTCTCTTCCCAAGTATAAGGTTAAGTACTGTATACTGCCTCCAAAGTTGTCAATCACAATGATTAATAGAAATAATAATCATTAATAATGTCTGTGGAATATTTACAATAGAACATCAAGGCACATAATCAGCAACCATCATTCCTGTGGCCGTGGCAAAATAGGATTATTATGTGAACAACCACTGTTCAAAGGCCACTGCGCACATTTACTCAGGGCCTTCTTGATGTGATGTTCTTCTGCTTCCCTGGCTGCTGTGTCTGTGGGGATGGTGTTAGCTCCGTGCTGTAGCGTCCTGATGACACCCAGTTTATGCTCCTGTGGATGATGAGAGTCAAACCTTAAATACTGATCCATATGTGTAGGTTTACATCAACTTTTAAATGTCCCCGATTACTAATGGAAATCTCACAGTCTAAGAAGGCTAACCTGCCACTTTTCATATCCTTCATATCCTTTTCACCATTCCTTCTCGGTGTCTCAGATCCTCCTCCTCTCTTTCTCTTTCCGTCCCTTCCCCTTGGCTAGCCACCATGGGGCTCTGCCCCCTCTGCTCCCTTCCTCCTGAGATAAGAAACATCACTTCCCTCCCTTTTTTTTAAGTCCAGACTCAAAACTCACCTGTTCACAATAGCCTATTCCACATAAGCTTTTCCATCCTGCTACTTTAATTTATTTTATTTATTTGCTCTATGTTTTATCCTTATATTTTTGTAA